GGGGGTGAGGGCACGGGCCTCCTTGTCCAGGAAAGCCAAGAAGTCGCTGTAGGTGGGCCTGCCTGCCCCGTCCATCGCCAGCACCCGCTGGCCCGGGCGCAGTGCCCACAGCGGCGTCCGGGCACCGTTCTCCAGCGTTGCCAGCGCCCGCCCAGGGAAGCAGCCCCCTGTCTTCGCAGCGGCCGAGTGCTCTGCGCGGGGAGAGAGAGGACAGGAGGGTTACCTGTCTGCCAGACCCCCAGCATCCCCGTTCCATGACGCGCAGAGACCCTCCCAGGCTGCCCGGCTTTGCCCACCCAGGGATAACCCTGCCCTGGCATCACGAACGTGCACGTGTCCCCTACACCCCCCCCAGCCGCCAATCCAGCCTCCCTGGGCACATGCTCCCCCAGCCAACATACCACTGGGGGTGGCACTCGGGGGCTCGAGCCACCCATGGCAGCACCTGCTCCCTGCTGTGGTGCTGGGGCGCTGGGACTGCTTTGCAGACCCAGGTCCCAAAATACGCTTGGCAGGGGGAGCAGGGCACAGCCACAGCCCTGAATATGCACAGCAGTGCCAGGGGGCACCCAAAGCTCGACAGAGGGGAAGCAGAGCCCCGAACCGGTGGCAGGCTGAGGAGCAGAGCGCCCAGTCACACTCTGCATGCCCACAGCACCCCCACCGCCTACAGTGCCGGGCCTGGGTACCACCAGGGATGATGCTACAAGGAACGGCACAGGATGCAGCGCACTTCCCCAGCACTGCAGCACCCCTCCATCCCGTGCTGCAAGCCCTGCTCTCTTCTCCTGCCTGCTTGCGCCTGCACCACTGATGCCAGCCAACCCCCTCTCTGAGCTGCAGGGAGATGTCACAGCCTGTGGCCATCATCAGGCAAAAGCCAACAGCCTCCTGGGCAGGGCTTTGCTATCTGGTGTCACAGGGTGAAGCACCCGAACTCTCTGGGGCTTGTCCCCTGGGATGGTGGCACAGCAGTCCTACCCCTCCCCAGATGAAAAGATGCAGCAAGTCACCAAGTGTCACCAGGAACCCATCCTGGCACTTAGCAGGGGAATCCTGGCTTCCCATGGAATGGTTCTCAGCTCTCACAGCAGCCCTGCTCCCCCAGGCCCTAGCAACCCCCATCTGAGTGTCTATTTGATGCCCTCCCACCATCTGGCAGGGGCATCTCATCTAGGGTCCTGCTCCTGGCCCTGCACGGTCCCAGCCTCGAGCTCCCAGCCCCATCCCACCCCAGAGCCCTCTCCCAGCTCCCTCATCTAATCCCAGAGTGTCCCTCCCAGATGGCACTGCCCCCCATCCCATTTGGCAGAGCCAAATCCCAGCCCCCAGGCCCATGAAGAGAGGCATCCATCTCTGGGACAGAATCCTTTTATTGCTCAGATGAGGTGCAGTGTCTGCCCCGTGCCTGCCCCCGAGGCCAGGTCCCAAATCCTGCACCCGGCATCCCCGGGCAGGCAGCAGAGCCATAGGGAGGGGCTGGCAGGAGGGCGAGAGGGGTACCGGGCAGAAGCAGGGGGCACAGGTGCTGGGCATGGAGGGGTGCGCGTGTGCAGGAGGGGACCCGAGGAGACACAATACATACAACAGGCCACGCGGCCATCCATACAAAAATAAAAGCCATTTACTAAGAGGCAGGGGCAGCCCGGCTGCCCTCTGTACACAGCTCTGGGGGGCCAAGATATGCCCCCCACAGCCTCCACCACGCACCCTTGGGCTCCCCATGGCCTTGGGGATAAATACGGGGGGACCCAGAGCCCTGAGGAGCCGCTGGCGGAGGGAGGGGGCTGTGGCCAGCCTCCAGAATCCCTCCAGGGCCTCAGGGGCCCAGTCTGCTGCCTGGGTCATGGCATCCCTCTTCGGTTGGTCCAGGGGAGAATCCTGGGATTCAAGACCCTCTGTCCTTCTCCAGGGGCACAGCCCCACTCCTCTGGCCAGCCCCAAGGCTCTGGGGTCATGGTCCTTGCTTCCGAGCCTGGCCCCACTCCTCCGGCCAGCCCCAAGGCTCTGGGGTCAGGGTCCTTGCTTCAGAGCCGGGCCCCACTCCCCCGGCCAGCCCCACGGGGCACCCTGGGGCGTGGGAGCCCTGGTCCTTCGCCCACGCTTTGTCCCTCTTCTTCG